AAGGCTCATGATATATTTTTTTTTCCTTTCAAAATTTCATTTCATACTACACCCCCAATTTCAAGAGCGTGGTTAAGTCTTATTAATATTTGCACGTTGCACCCCGGGCTTCTCTGAAATCACTCATGAAGATCAAAGCCCCAATGCTCGTGCTAGATCAAGTGTCGTCCAGTGTTGCAGTTCTGGTCTTAATTTACTATCTTTCAGGATTGTGTCAAAGTGACGGCTATATCTCAAATTTTGTTTGGGGCTTAGATGAATATTTGCATAACTTTCCACGTTTGTTGTATTTTGCCTCTCCTCACCTTTGGCTTTTGGAGGATTTCAATACCCCAAAGAGCTCAGTCATGGAGGCAGAGATTGAACTCGGCGGGGCTAACGTGGGGGCTTATTCGTAATTTCTCATGGTTTTGCCTCTAAAATCTCTCGCCATATTTGTCAATTTTCAACTTGCAACTCTTGAATTATTTTGGTTTGATTGCTATGTTAGCTATGATTACAACTTATCCGCGCTTCTGAGACTTGGTCTATGAAGCAAAAGGATAAAAAAATGGTTGAATTTCTTGATATGAGCTAGCATTATTGTGACCAAGCATTTATTATTAGTTGAATTTATAACAAATTTTTTGGCTGTGATGAGAAAAATAACAGCTAACGCCAGTTCTGCTTCAGATAATTCATGATTGAGAACGCTGATATTTTTCTGAGCCTGTATTGGGTCGTATTTTTCGTAATATTTGGTTTACTTGTTAAACGTAATTTGAAAATATGTTGTTTATTCCCTATTAACCCCTGTGTTGTTAATTTCCTTGAAGAATAAAATACCGCTGCTCCGCAAATATGATGGATTTGAAGAGTATTTTAGGCTAATACACAAAATTTATATTGCTAATGATGAAAGGACCAACTTTTGAGGTGTAGATAGCTTCAAGACCCTGTTTTACGGGGAGAACCTACTTGAAGCTCCTACATTCAAATGATGTTCTGGTCATTACTGAGGCGTCATCAATCTTAATGTTTAATAGTTTATTTTACCAAAAATATTTTCTTTTCTGCGAAAAATTGTTGCCTATGATGAACTTGTCTGCAAAATGGAAACCAAGACCCTGAAAAAGGAGAACCTACTTGGGAATTATGACATCAACTGACATACTGAGGCTCTGAATATATTTGTATTTATGTGCTCTTTATTCATATGCATTTATTTATTTATTTTAAGTGCTTTTTATTCAAATGCATTTACATTTTTTTAATTTTATGTGCTTTTTATTCGTATACATTTATTTATTTATTTTCATTTTATTTCTGAGTTTTTAACTATCCTCGTGCGAAAATTAACTTAATTTGCATGGAGGCTGAATCAACTCGGATAGTTTGGTGTTGTCATCAGCTTCTTCTCTTGTATTTCACGAGCTTGGAGTTAAATAACAGCACTACATTTGAATACTTTCAGGATTAAGTTTGGAATTTATTTGGAAATTTCCTTTTTTATTTGAAGTAAATCTGGTTTATTTAACGGAGTAATTTGCTCGCCGCTGATGTATTTGGATTTGAGTTTATTGGGCTTCAAGTTGGTTTTCTGGGAATTGAAAAAAAAAACCAAAAATCTCAACAGTTCTCTTCTTTCCTTTGATCAGGTCCTGGAGCTCGCTGGAAACGCAGCACGAGACAACAAGAAGACGAGGATCGTGCCACGTCACATCCAGCTGGCGGTGAGAAACGACGAGGAGCTCTCCAAGCTCCTGGGAACTGTAACCATCGCCAATGGCGGAGTGATGCCCAACATCCACAACCTTTTGCTCCCCAAGAAGACTGGGACTTCCAAGAATGCCCCTGCTGACGATGAGTAGATGGGGATTTTGCAAGAACTTGTATTGTCTATTGATTGTAGTATAGTTTTTTGTTCGTTCTAGAATGAATGAAACACTTTTATCTTCTCTCTTGTGAAGAAATGCTCCTTGTTTGTGAATCTTACCTATTAGTTACTTCAAATTGGGTTAAAAGCTGAGCATTTTGAGAAGAGAGATTATTTTTGTATAAGAAGGTAATTTAGTTGATTCCTTTGTTTGATGTTGTGAGATTGGTTGTAGAAATGACAAGGAAAACAGATTACAAATGAATTAACTGAGTTTCATTATGTTTAAGCTAAGATGTTAATAATCTCATCTACATCTTTCAACTCATTTTCAGGAATTGATATTTTGACAAAATAAATGGTAACAAGTAAATTGAGAAATGGCTGAGTAATATAAAAGATATAAATGAGGGGTTATCTGCAATATATCCTTCTGTTTATAAGCAACACTTAGCATTAACCCAAGTTACCCGCTACTTGTCTGTCTCAGAAATCAAATGGGATCCAACTTCCAAATTAATCGATGTCCAGCTCTTCCTTCCTCAAACTCTTCTCCCAAAACCCACTTCAACCCTCCCTCAAAAATGCAAAGAGCACCCTTCAAATTCTCCAAATTCATGCCCAATCCATAACCAACCCCAATCTCTCGCACTCATCCTCCTCCCACAGCTGCCTCCTTTTTGCTCTCTCCCAACTCCCCTTCCCTAACCCATCCTCTTCCTACATCAATCTCATCTTCTCTCAAATCCAAAAACCTGGCACTTTTATCTACAACACTGTCATCAGACTCCATTCAAAGGCCTCAAACCCTCTTCATTCAATCCGATTCTTTGTCGAAATGAAGAGGAATGGAGTGAAGAGTGATAATTTCACATACCCATTTGTCCTAACTGCTTCCAGTTTGATTTCTGATCAAAAGCTTGCCATGTTGATTCATGGGGAAGTATTTAAAACTGGGTTTGATTCTGATTTGTTTGTAGTTAATGGGTTGATTAGTTGTTATTATAGGAGTAGGGAGATTGATTTAGCTAGAGAGGTTTTTGATGGGTGTAAGTGTAAAGATTTGGTATCTTGGAACTCAATGATAAGTGGTTATGTCAACTGTGGAGAAGTGGGGGAAGCTCAGAAGCTGTTTGATGAAATGCCTAAAAGAGATGCTTTTACTTGGGCTATTTTGGTTGATGCATATGTGAAGATAGATTGCAACATTAATCGTGCCCGCAAGCTGTTTGATCAGATCATTGAAAAAGATTTGGTATGCTGGAATTCAATGATCAATGGGTACTCAAGAGTTGGTGATATGAGCTCTGCTAAAGAACTCTTTGAGGCGATGCCAAAGAGGAATGAAGTATCATGGAGCATCATCATAGATGGCTACGCACGTCATGGAAACTCTAAAGAGGCTCTGCAAACCTTTTATCGGATGCTTCACCAAGGCACGAGGCCTGACCGGGTTTGTGCCGTCGGTGCAATTACAGCATGTGCTCAATTGGGCGCCCTTGATCAAGGCCAATGGATACACTCCTATCTAAGAAGGCACAAAATTTTATTAGACGTGGTTGTCAATACGTCTTTGGTTGATATGTACATGAAATGTGGGAGCTTGGACCTTGCAAGAAGGGTTTTCGAGGGAATGCGTGCTAAGAGTGTGGTTTCTTGGAACGTGATGATCGTTGGTCTTGGGACTAACGGTCGTGGAGTAGAAGCCCTCGAGCTTTTCTATCATATGCTAAAGCAAGGAGCTCCGATGGATGATTTAACTTTTCTCGGCGTTCTGACTGCATGCACTCATACGGGCCTAGTGGACGAAGGGTTCGACATCTTTCATAGGATGAAGAATGAATTTGGCAGCGAGCCCAAAATCGAGCATTATGGATGCATTGTTGATCTCCTCGGTCGATCTGGGAGATTAGAGGAGGCTAGAATTTTCATTGAGACAATGCCGATGGAGCCAACTCCTGCACTTTGGGTGTCCCTTCTTGCATCTTGTCGAACTCATCGGTGTGTGGACTTGGCAGAGAAAGTTGTAGACGAGCTTGTGAGAATCGGAGAGGACGATGGAGGGGTTTATGTTCTTATGTCGAATATTTATGCGGATGAAGGGATGTGGACTGATGTGTGGAGGATGAGAAGGTTGATGAAGGGGAGGGGGATGAAGAAGGAGACTGGGAGGAGTGTGATTGAGTTGGATGGGGTTGTTCATGAGTTTGTGAAGAGGGGGATGAAGAAGGAGACTGGGAGGAGTGTGATTGAGTTGGATGGGGTTGTTCATGAGTTTGTGAATGGAGATTGCTTGCATTCTTGTAAGGAGTGGATTTATGATGTTGCTCGGAGGTTGTCTAATGAAATGGTGTTCGTAAGGTAACGGTTCTGTAAACAAAGTTTTGTTTTTGTTTCTGTTTCCTCCTCTGTTATATTTCATGAAAATTTAATTGGAATTTTCTCGGTTATATTCTTGAATTTGTTACTTTCTCTGTGGACAGCAGAAAGACTTCTTCTGGTAAGGGGGATACATCCATGATATCAGTGAAATCAGGATAGAGATTTCATGTTTTTGTACATTTTTGTACTTCAGAAGTCATCTTTTTCTAGTTTTATCAACTAATATTATCTGTTCAGCATTTCCCCTTTCTCCATAGCATTATGCCTTTGGTTTTTTATATGAACAGTTAGTTTTATATCTGTTCGGTAGGTAAAAATAATTTGAATCCCCTTTATCAGCAAGTAGATAGCATAGATGCAGACTAAATAGATGAACGAGATGAACCTTTCAAAATTCCACATCTAAAAATAGAGGAAAGAACACATCTCAGTATCTTATAGACATTTCTATGAATTGATGTTAATCTATTACCAGCCTACAAAAAATGACCAGTAAGTAATTACAGATATATTTCTTTGTTCCTAAAAGAAATCGGTTTT